CAAGCTATAGCAGGACTCAGAGCTGTAGCTAGGGTAGGTACAACTTGCAGAGAGTCATGCGGGCAAGCCACACTGGGAGGCCATTTGGGGTTATAGTTGGAGTAGGCTCAGGACAAGGGTAGCCTTCTAGACAGGCCATGCTGAGGCCTAGAGCTATAGCTAAAGCAGATGTGGTCTGATAGGAGACCTGGGGGTAAACTGCACAGGCTCGTGATGTAGTTTGCATAGGTGAAGAGCCACGGGGTGTCCCTGAGATAGGTCTCAGCACTGGTGTGGGCCTGGAGCCTGGTGTGTACTATGACAGTCTTGGCAGGCTAGCTAGTGTACTTGGATCATGCTCTTGCCATGCAATCAAGTTGGAGGGGGAAGGCTACTAATGGTGCTCTCCAGTGCCTGTGACACCAGAATGAGTTCCCACCTTATCTACTTATTGTTTGGCAGAGACTCTAAGATTAGTAAATGGATTTCCTTCCTGTATTGTCTATGTGCCCTTTAAACCAGTTTTTTTCAATGTGCCCCGGGGCTGGTACATTGGTGAGCAGGCCCCTCAGTGAACCATCCCTATTTCAAGCTGGTGCTTGGTGGTGGAGTCTCCATGGTACAATGCCTCCATCTTTCCTACCCATTTCTATGTGGTCTCTCTCGCTTGTTTTGCAAAAGCTGTTCAGTGAGCCCTTTGTTTTCCTTTAGGGGAATTTCTCTGTCTATAGGTGTAAATTTGTTGTGTCCCTGGGAGGAGGTGAGTTCAGGGTCTTCCTGTGCTGCCATGTTGGACCAAAAGCCTGAACTTCTAATTTTAAATAGCTATAAGTTAGTGTTTTATTTTTAATATACTCAGAGACCCATATTTATTGAGATTTTTCTATATCTTCAGTTAGTACAATTTTTAAAGAGTTGATAATTTAGAGTATATTTGGTCCATCCAAGGTATTTTATTTCATGTGCATGTTAAGAGTAAATTATATTTAAATTTTCACTGATGCCAATTTAAATTGTTTCTATTTTTGTACTTAACTTTCATTTTAACTACCTTCTATGCTCCAAATGGTTAGAATTTGTGTAAGAGAGAGTAAAGGATCAGTATTTCTGCTGAACTCAATGTTAAATATAGGGTAGGTCTTATAGAAACACATAGCCCTATAAACTTCATTTTCAGAGAGAATTGTGCTACTTGAGAAGCTTTGTTCTAGGTAAGGTAAAAACACTTTCCTTGGGTTTGCAATAAACTTGCCTTGTATTCTGTTGAGTTCTTTGATTTATAATATATAAGAGATAATGTTATAAAATATTGTATGAATGTAGATAGTAAGTTTTTTCAAAGGCATTTATTAAATTACTAGAGGCCCTGTGCATGGATTTGTGCACTGGTGGGGTTCCTTGGCCTGGCCTGTGGGGATCAGGCCAAAACTGGCTCTCCAACATCCCCTGAGGGTCCTGGATTGTGAGAGGGCAGTTCTCAGATGATGCACCTTGGAATCGGGCTCCCTCCTCTGGTTCTGGGCACGTCACCTGAGAACCGCAGCCGCCAAGTTACTGCAGCTCAGCAGCTCCCCGTTGAGCATCTGCCCCCTGCTGGTCAGTGCATGTCATAGCTACTTCTTGCGTTGTCAAGCCTCTCTGCTGGGCCATATGTACGTCACACCCATTCTTTTGCTTATGTTTCTTGCCTGAGAACAGCTCCCGCTTCCCAATCTGTTAAAACCCTGTCTAAGTTTTTCACTGCTCAGCTCAAAACCTACCTTTTTCTTGAAGGCTGTTAAACTTTTTCACTTCCTTTGGACTCCCTTGTCTCTGAAACTTTAAAAAAAATTGCTTCACATAATTTAGCTCTAAAATAGATATATCATTTTTTTCTTTAGTCACTGTTGTCACCAGATTGTTATGATTACTATTTTATGTTATATTATATTAGGGGCCCGGTGCACAAAATGTGTGCACTGGTGGGGAGGTTCCCTCAGCTCAGTCTGTCCCCTCTCACAGACTGGGAGCCCTCAGGGGATTTCCTACTGACAGCTTAGGCCCGCTCCCCATGGAGAGCGGGCCTAAGCCGCAGTCTGGCCTCCCACTGCGGGAGGCAACAGGGCTGATCAGGGGAAGGCACCAGCACCATCACCCTGCTGCTGCAGCCACTGCCAGGCACCGCAGACGCCAAGGTGTTTTCATCAACATGGACTCTAGTCCCTTCAGCATGAAAAAAAATGACAACTTTCTTTAGGCATTTTCAAGATGTGTCTTTCATAGGGTATGACATTTCTTCCTTTCTTTTTTTTTTTTCTTATTATAACCCAAGTTACCAAGAACACTGCAAGTGGTGGCGTACAGGGAGCTTAGCCAGTGAGCGGTTAGAAAAGGTGTTTATGCTCGAACTGGTTTGGCTCAGTGGATAGAGCGTCGGCCTGCAGACTGAAGGGTCTCAAATTTGATTCCTGTTAAGGGCATGTACCTTGGTTGGGGGCACATCCCCAGTGGGAAGTGTGCAGGAGGCAGCTCATTGATGTTTCTCTCTCATCGATGTTTCTGACTGTCTATCCCTCTCTCCTCTTCTCTGTGGAAAAAAATCAATAAAATATATTTTTAAAAAGAAAGGAAAAGGTGATTCCTCTGCAGCTCATGAGCAGAGGACCCCCTGTGTTGTGTCCACTGGGCTAGGGGCATGTCCCTGCCGCCGGGAGGGGGCACACCCCCGAGGCTGGCAGCCAGACCTGCATTGTGGGCGCTGGGCTCTGGGGCATGCGGGCCTGGGCCATGTGGTGGCTGCCACCACCAGGGGCATGCCCCCCAGGCCAGCAGCCCCGAGTTGTGGGCACCAGGCTGGGGGGCGTGGATCTGGGCCGCTGCTTGGTGCCAGCACACATGGAAGCAGCCACAGGGTGGGAACATCCACTTGGCGCCTGCACCCGTAGGCCTGAAGCAGTCGGGGGCGTTCTGGGAACCTGGCTGCTCAGGGCCTACACACAGGCCTGCAGGCTAGGAGCGACCTGGGTCCTGAGGATGTTCCTGGGACCCAGGCCGCTTGGCAATCTGTGTAGGCAAATTAACCTGCCATCTTTGTCAGATTAATTTGCAAACTCACCCCTGATTTGCTGGTGAGCATAGCGGAGGGATGGTCAATTTACATGTTTCTCTTTTATTATGTAGGATTACTTATACACAGCTGTAATATTATTCAGTGCTTATTCTGGATGTTACTTCATTTACTACATCTATAGCTTTTTACGGGAGGTATTTGTATCGATTTCACAGGTAGAGAATCTATGGTTAGGCTACGTTGTTAAAAAGTGGCAGAACTGATACCTAGGCGCATACTCTAATACAGAGGTGGACAAAACTAAGTTTATAGTTCATATAGAAAATAATACAATAATCCTATATAATAAAAGGGTAATATGCCAATTGACCCTAACGGTCTACGACTAGGAATGACTGGTCGCTATGACATGCACTGACCACCAGGAGGCAGATGCTCAATGCAGGAGCTTCCCCCTGGAGGTCACTGCTTCCACAGGAGCACTGGCTCATGCCTGGACAGTGTAGCGGTGGTGGCGGGAACCTCTCCCGCCTCTGCTGCAGCATTAAGGATGTCCGACTAATGGCTTAGGCCCACTCACCAGGGCTCCCAGGCTGCCAGAGGGATGTCTGACTACTAGCTTGGCGATTCCCTGGGGAGCGGGCCTAAGCCGTCAGTCGGACATCCCCCAAGGGGTCCTGGACTGCGAGAAGGTGCAGGCTGGGCTGAGAGACCTCCCCAAGTGTATGAATTTTTGTGCTCTGGGCCTCTAGTTAATATATAATAATCCTATATAATAAAAGCCTAATATGCTAAGTGTCTGGTCTTCTGGTCATCCGTGCAACCTGTCAAAGTGTAATATGCTAATGATATGCTAAGGCCATTCAATCACTTGCTATGACATGCACTAACCACCAGGGGCCAGACAGTCGACTGGTCAACCAGTCGCTATGACGTGCACTGACCACCAGGAAGCAGACTCTCTGACAGGTAGGCTAACTTGCTGCTGTGGTCTGGCTGATCGAGACTGAGCGAAACAGACCAGACATACCCTGGAGCCCTCCTGTGGTCCCTCCCCATCTGGCCAACCTCCTGTGTCTCTCCTCCGCCCCGATTGTGTACCAATGGAGTCCCTCGGCCTGGCCCGCACCCTCTCGTAATTGGGGATCCTTGGGGGATGTTGGAGAGCCGTTTTCGGCTCGATCCCACAGGCATAACAGGCTAATATGCAAATCGACCAAACAGCGGAACAACTGGTTGCTATGACACACACTGAACCACCAGGAGGCAGACGCTCAACACAGAACCTGCCCCCTGGTGGTCAGTGCACTCCCACAGGGGGAGCACTGCTGAGCCAGAAGCCAGGTTCACAGCTGGCGAGTGCAGTGGTGGTGGTGGTGGGAGCCTCTCCCACTTCCACGGCAGCGCTAAGGATGTCTGACTGATGGCAGTCAGGTGGACATCCCCCAAGGGCTTCCAGACTGCAAGAGGGTGCAGGCGGGGCTGAGGGAACCCCTCCCCCCCGAGTGCATGAATTTCGTGCACTGGGCCTCTAGTACAAGAATAAACTTTCACGTTCTCACAACTATAAATCTACTTTTGCCCACCCATGCATATAGTCTTCTATAGGCTGCTTAAGACCTATCTTATGTCACCTACATTCTCTGTTTTCATTCATTGATATATACTAAATTCTTACTAAATTTTAAATATTTTTCTTTAACTTCCTGTTAACTCTTCATTTGCGGGCATAATCTAAGGCTTTGGGTTATTACTATGCCAGTTGAACTTCTTTTACTGATAAAGAAATTATAATTATCTAGAAATATTTATTATGTGCCTAGAATATGTTACAATCCTGCTTCTCCTTTGAAAATCATCACTTTAAGGTATAGTAGTGTATAATAATGACACATTATAATTTTAACAGGTATGCTCATTTTTTTTTTTTTATGTAGTGGTAAAGATATTTTCTTTTGGATTTTATTTTTAGAAACTGTCATGGAGTTCCTTGAGAAACTATCTGACAAACTTTCAGAAAGGTTCGTTTTTATTCTTCTCTTTAGAATATATGTTATTTTTGTGTGTCTTTTTTAAAGACTTAATTTATGAAAAATGAGCAAGTTACCTATTAATAATGCAAGTATTGGAATACTGGGTCAGATCTGTGGACTATTGAGTAGGAGGTTAATTGAACTATGAGATATACTTTGAAAGCACATAGTTGTCTTCCTAAGATGACAACCTTGAAAACTTAGGCCATCCCCTTTGATTAATTATTTGTCTTTAGGAAATCATTGATGTGTAACTTAAAAAGTTTCCAACCCTAGCTGGTTTGGCTGAGTGGATAGAGCCGAAGGATCCCAGTTTCAATTCTGGTCAAGGGCATGTACCTCCATTGCAAGCTCCTCCCCGGCCCAGGCCCTAGTCAGGCTCCTGCAGGAGGCAAGCAATCGATGTGTTTCTCTTACATCACTTTCTCTCTGTCTTTCCCTCTCCACTATTTCTAAAAATCAATAGAAAAATATCCTCAGGTGAGGATTAAATAACAAACAAAAAATTTCCAAATGTTTTTGAAACTACATATTTTAGTTTGTACCATCAATTTTATGTCAAGTTTAAAAAATAGTATTTTTCTTCCTTTGGCCTAAATATTGGCAGCAGATGTGGTAAATTGATCTGTATTTTGATTTTGTATATTTCAAGAATGATCTGCTTCACCATTTGTAATTTCAAGCTGAAGTGTTTTTCTCTCTACTATGAGTCCCTTTGTTATATTCTTGCCTTCCCTTTTCCCAGTGCCCAGTTTCTTTGATCATGCCACTTGTCCTTCACTAGCACTCTTCTAGTGCTTTATTGAGAGGCAGAATTCCAATAGGCATCAGATACCTAGGCTTCCAGGAAAAGGCTGATCATGGTTTTAAAAGAGGGTCATGTTCCAGAAAAAGTTAAGAACCATGTGATTTCACTCATATGTAGGATATAAAACTGAAAACAACAAATAAACAAGACAAACAAAAATTTGTAGACATAGACAACAGTATGGTGGTTACCAGAGGGAAAGGGGGAGGTAGTAGAGGGTAAAGGAGGTTAAATATATGGTGATGGAAGGAGATTTGATTTTGGGTAACAGCAAACACACAATATAATATACAGATGACATATAGAATTGTACACTTGAAACCTATATAATTTTATTAACCATTTTCACCCCAATCCTATATAATAAAAGCCTAATATGCTAAGTGTCTGGTCGACTGGTCAGCCGTTCAACCAATCAAAGCGTAATATGCTAATGATATGATAAGGCAGCTAAACCGCTGGCTATGACATGCAGTGACCACCAGGGGGCAGACGCTCTGACAGGTAGGTTAGCTTGCTGCTAGGTTCTGACTGATCGAAACTGAGAGAGATGGGTTGGACATGCCCTGGAGCCCTCCTGCGGTCCCTCCCCAGCTGGCCAACCTCCCATGTCCCTGCCTGGCCCCAATCGTGCACTGGTGGGGTCCCTCGGCCTGGCATGCACCCTCTTCAATCCGGAACCACTCGCGGGATGTCAGAGAGCTGATTTCAACCCGATCCTGCAGGCCAGGCTGAGGGACCCCACTGGTGCATGAATTCATGCACCAGGCCTCTAGTAAATTTAATTAAAAAGAAAGAGGAAAGAGGGTCATGTTTTCTCATTTCTTTCTTATAATGCTGTCTAAAATTTTATTTGCTGCCCTAGCTGGTTTGGCTCAGTGGATAGAGCGTTGGCCTGCAGACTGAAGGGTCCCGTATTTGATTCCAGTAAAGGGCACATGCCCAGTTGCAGGCTTGATCCCCAGTAGGTTGCATGCAGGAGGCAGCCAATCAATGATTCTCTCTAATCATTGATGTTTATCTCTCTCTCTCCCTCTCCCTTCCTCTCTGAAATCAATAAAAATATATTTAAAAAATAAAATAAAATAATATTTTATTTGCCTTTTTTACTATACCAGTATGTTAAGTTTTAGCTCAAATATTCATTTTCTATTATAAATTCATGCCTTAGAACCCAATCCTCTCTAATTTGGATTATATTTATAAATTCTAAACTTTTCTTTTAAGCCAGTGAACCACTGTGGCTTTGATATAATGAAGACGAAGTGTTAATAATGCAGTTATTTGAGAATTTATTCTACTTTGCTTTGTTGGATAAGTGTTAATATTCTTTCCCCATTAATATGTAGATTACTAAGTGTACCAGTTAATAATGCGGATTTTTTTCAATAGATGGAGTTACACATATGTTGATATATATGCGATTTGATATGTGTGCTATTTTGTTGTATTGACAACAAGCTCCAAAACTTCCTATGTCAAATTTTCTGAAGGTGTTAACATCATAGATATTTTTATGCTTAAAAATGTCGAATTTCATGCCAAAAAAAGAACATTTGCAGAAAGTTTTAATTCATTACTTTATTTTGAAGAAAAAGTTATCATATATATACTTCAGGAAGCTTATAGTGAACATGCTCCAACTCAAGATACTTGTGAACACTGGTTTAAACTCTTTAAAAGTTATGATTTCAATGTGAAAGACAAAG